GAAATGCAGTATGACCAGGCCGATAGAGCTGGAGCACTGGTTGACCGTGTTCCAGTAAGCTCTAGGTACGCCGAGTTTCTTTGGACAGTCGCATTGGCGCTCTCTGTTGGAGGGCCTGGTTTGCCATCTCGGACGTGGTGATTTGCAGGTTCTTTACAGAAGAGGCTTCATGTTATTTTTTTATGGAATTTTATACTCTAATGATCATGAAATCGGTAAGGAAGCTATGCGAGCTCTAGCACGTATGTCTAAGAATAAGGTCCAGATTTATGAAGCTCTTGCTAGTGCAGACCTTTGAGCAGTCTTTCAATCCCGACTCCAACTGCAGTGTTTGGAGGCTGTTAACTTAGCGAACAAGTGATATCCAACCTGAACGTAAACACAGTGGTTGATGTCCCGCAGAATTTCTGTGGGCTTTTTCTGCTTTGCAGATGGGGAAACGGAATGAGCTGCTTCTTCCCGACTCATTGGCATCAGCTGCATACATTATTAAGCAATTTGTGCCACTCTTTGTTTTCCCCTCCAAGAAAGGCATTTCCAACTCCCCTTTCCCAGTTTGTAATGTAACGTAAACTCAGTGGAAACGAACCAGTTTACAGTGTCAGCATTGAATTCATGCGCCTGCCTGAATCATCCTCCACCCGCTCCAGTCCCTCCAACACCTTTTGGAGGCCGTTCTTCCAATGCAGCCTCAGTAAATTCAAGTGTTTCCTTCCCATCATCTGTGCAGACTTTCTGGGAGAAGCCCAACTGCAGTAGATATTTTTCTACATTGAAAGACTATTGCAATGAGTTTTTGGATGGCAAACCAGACTGGCCAGCCAGGGGAACTGCATTCCCTCTTCCTTCCAGTGTATGTAGGTATTATAGAGACAAATAGGTGTGTGTGGAAAAGGGTGGTCCTGACATGAGAGCAGCGAGTGGCCTGTCTGGTCTATAAGAAGGGGAAGAATGGTAAAACAAAATGAAAAATGGGTACAGTTTGAAGATGTGAAATACCAATTAGGAACAATCAAATGAAGCCATGCAGATCCCTATGGATCCCCTTCCTCTATTCTGAAATGATTTCTTTTTTTCACTTTGATTTAAAAAACACGAGCAGTCTTTCTTTAACCTCATCCTTCCTTTCCCAGGTGGGCGTGTGGGGGAGCTAATTCCATTTTCTTTGTGGCTTCAGTGGTAGGCAGGAAGCGAGTGGTATTTTTATGCAAAGAAGTGTTGGGGTTGTAGGATGTGAGAGGCTAAAGTTCATGTGTTGCTCTCCACTTTCTGTTTAGTAGTCACATTTTTTGAACAGTAAAGGTATGTGTGTTTATTTGGTGAACATAACAGGCTGACATTTCTGCTCGAATATGACAGCATTCCAAGTGGCCAGGCTCTCTGAGATTTTGGGGTTTCTGCCGTCCACAAGGTCACAGTTATGGTTTGGCTTTTTTTTTTTTCTCTGAATGGTGGCCTTAGAAAACGGATAATATGTCAGTAAGTTTTTACTACTTTTAAGGAATGATTGAGTGGTGGAAAGATGAAAAAGCTGATTTATATAGGTTAAATGGGAGATTACTGAAAAAACTAATATTAGCTCATCAAACTAATGCCATTCCAAGGAGAGTACTATTATAAGACATATTTTCTGAAAAGGGATGTCTAAAATTTAAGCTGTCTCAACATTGAAGCAACATAACACAAATACTTGACCCAAATGGTTTTAATATGCATTTGATAGCTTTTTCTCCAAAATTGCATAATTTTTGATGGGAGAAGGTTGCATCTTATAGACTAGATAATGTGGCATTTTACCAAATGGCTGAGAAGCAGCTTTAAAATGTGGGCACACTTAGCAAAATTATGGCTAATAGAGTTTGACTTTGCACTGTGTTCAGATTAGCACGCTTAAATGAATACTGAATTATGTTGCAAAGTGCTAACACCTACAGTTTTAAAATGTTTGCGTCTTTATAACAGCCAGACTTTTCTTTTACTGCTGTAAAGAATTTAACATTGCAGGATTAATTGTCCCATGCAAGTTTTGATACTCCAAAGTTAACCTTACTAAAATAATCCATTTTGATGTCCGTATAAGAATCCATACATGTTTTAGCAGCAATCCAGATGCATCATGATATCTGCAGATTTCTAGGTTAAAAGAAATCAGTGTAACATGACCGGGCTGAAGGAATCTACTGTTTCTTTTGTAATTGTAGTTGATGATGCAACTTACCTTTAATTCAGGTGACAAGACTTATTAGAGGAAGACTCAGTTGCATAAAAGTGGAAGCATGTAAAGATGATGTATAGGAGGTATTTAGTGCAGTTTCTATAGGCTGAGAAAAGGAGCACTCTTTCTTTGAAATGCTCTTAGGAAGATCTCCAGACCCTTTGGTTAGTGGCTCTGGAATCAGGGAGGAATGCTGACAACGGAAAGCAAAACCATAATTGTGCTTATGCGACAGTGCCAAGTAATTTGAACATTTAAAATAAGTCGGGCGCATGCCTCCTTATTCATATTACGTGACTTCTTTAAACATTTAAAGATGATTTCCCTTTTGAAGCATAAAAGTAACTACCTCAAATTAGCCCCAATCATTGTTGAGAATAGGAAGTTTTTAAATCCCCCCTAATTATTTTGGAACCAAACAGACAAATTATTAGAAGCTCGCACCAGGTAATTTTATACCACCTGGCGGTATAACCATTTAAAAACTGATTCCTGGGTTGCTTATTGTAGGTGCTATTTACTTAATATTGGTTATACTGTTCCTTTGTTGTCAGATTTGTCTCGTGATTTATGGTCTAGGATTGTTTTCTGATTGCTCTGAAATGTCCATCTTTAACACGATTTAACATTTTAACTAAAGAATACAATTTTTATTTTTTTTTGCTGTTCTTCTTTAACCCAGTGCATCCGTGTAGTAGTTTCCATTTTCTGAAGCTTTAAAAACCTCTTCACATAGCCCGATGTCGATAATATTTTGTAGGGTACGCTCAGCTTCGGATACGTGCACAGCTCTCTTGGAGGCAGAATTGACTCCTTCAGTCTGTAGTGTCTCAGCGTAATGTTATTTATTTGTTTGATTTATATGCTATCTTCCCTCGAAGAGTCTCGGAGCAGCTTACAATAAATATAATTAGGTTATCAGGTTCTGAGTATTGTGTTTATATGCCAAGGACTGTCCTAACTGAGGGTATGATCCCATGGATGATTCATACCAGCGCAGGACCTTTATCTTCAGTCAGTAGATTGGATATATGACAGTGTGGTGCTCTCTCATTGTACTTAAATCCTGTAGAATAGGTCATTTAATTGGACTGATGCACAATTTGCCATGGTATTTCCCCCCCCCCCCCCCCCCCCCCAAACAAAAACCCAAAACAAAACACAACCTGCTTGATTAATAAGGATGCTTGACCTATGTAGTCCTATTGTGCCACTCTTCTGTAATACTTAACCTCCATTAAGGGCATGTCAAAATTTAAAAAATGGGTTTTGTTACACAGTTGCTTTCAGGTATAGCTGCTTATCCTTCTCTTTTCCTGTGTGCTTTGTATAGCTGGACACCTTAATTCCATCACATTCAAGGGAAGGGTGCAAACCAAATGGCATCTTTGATTTCCTCCCCCTCTTGCCCCACTTGCAGATTTGTCAGCACTGTACACTTTAAATATCCCAAAGGGAAAAGACCTGTTCCATGATTATGTGACACCTACTTTACAAGCCCCACTTGTCTGTTCTTTTTCTGCGTAACCTTTTTTTTTTCCTGTCTTCTGTTAGAAAAATCACTTGTGGTCTATACTTAAGAAGCAATTATGTGCTCTTGGGTAAAATCACCCCTCCTTAATCCCTTTTAAATTGTCCCATACAGATAGGTTAGGTGCAGAACGAGACCACTTACCTTCAGGTTGGTAAGTGCAAGGCTGTTTCAAAACTTGTATTTGACAGACCTCCTAATCATGGGCTTAGGGCCACACTACATGTCCAAACTTAAAGCCATCTAGATGCTGAGCTTAGTTTAGGCCTTTGACAGACATTACCCTTAAGATGATGGCTTGGTTAGCAGTGACCTGGCCACAAGTTTAATTCAATTAATGGCATGATAAAAGGAGGAATAAGCCACAAAACACATGTATTAACTTTGTGGCACTTTTAATTGGATGTGTGGCCAGTGCTCCCAGCCTTTGGAGCTCGCTGGAGCTTTTCAAGACTCCCGTGCGCTCCGCAGCTGGGAACCCACATCAGCTAATTGGAGCTCCCAGCCAGGAGAGAGCGGCACCATGTGCTCCTGCATGGGAGACTCTAATCTGCTGATGGGGCTCCCAGCTCGGGGAGCGCCGGGAGCCAAGCCTGCAACTTGCTGGTACTTTGGTGACGTGGAGTGATGGGAACTGATGCTGGATCCCACAGTCATGCCACCTGCCACGCATGTGTAGCATGGCAGGAAGAGCAATTGTTGGGATCCTGCATCAGATCCCATCGTGCCTTTAAATTAACATCTGTCCGGGGGCCTTAATAACACAAAAAGTAGAGTGTCTCTCTGCAAACTCGTTCTGCAGCCACCCACACTGCAAGCGGCAGTTCTTCACTGCAGGTTAGCTTTATCGATAAGGAACAAGGAAAAGAGAATCCCTGCTTCCCACATGAACCTGCCCAGCCTTCTTCTAGCCTGCAGTCGCGTGCTTTAGGGATCATGCGATGTCCTCTCCAGGGCCGTGCGGAAAACTGTGCACTTGTGTCTGGATGTTTGCTAAACTTTGCATGTATAAATACTTCTAGTCCGTGCTAGGATGTTCCTTTTATAAACTGGATACTCAAAAGTCAGTGACTTGGTGGGACGTTTCATTCCTTACGATGAAGCCAGTAGCTTTCTACTTTTTCAGGCTAGGCCTTAATTGGTCTTCCAAATGTGGCAGAGAAATGGAGAAACACAGGGGTGTTGAATGACTTTGTGATTTTAATGCATGTTTGTGCCATACAAAAAACCCTAACCTTCTTTTGTTTTATGCAGGTGCTTGTTAGTGAGGACTCTGATAGCGATGGTATAGTGGCCCACTTCCCGGCACATGAAAAGCCCATTTGCTGTATGGCTTTTAACCCCAGTGGTAAGTTCTTCTGCCATAGTTAATTTTATAGCATATAGTATGTAAAGAAAACAAGAAATGCAGTGTATGTTCTGTTTCTTTGGGGCTGTAAAAAAAATTACCACCATTCCTTACTAGTCTATTGTGGGACATGCAAAGACTGACTTGGAAAACATCGATGTCTGTCTCATTGGGTTGAGCATTGCATGCCAGTTGTCAGAGACTGCATTGGTCTTTTCTGGGAATTTCAGCTTTAGGCCAGCTGTACTCCTCTATGGTGTGGGTATACAAAGAAACCTTGACCACTGCCTAAAAATGCATATAACTGAAATATTGAAAGAAATTATTTTGTTAGTTAAGTGCATCAGATCTACTGGAAATTGAGGACCAAAACTTCCCTAAAAGGATTCTTCTTCCTAAAACTGGGAATAAGTTGGGTCATTTCAAATGAAATCTTTCCTCCGAAGGTAATAGATGGTGCCACAAATGCTTTGTGGATCTGTAACTCAAGGTTCTGCTCTTTTCCTTTTAAGTGGTATGAACCACAATCTGAAAATATTTTAAAAACCTCAAAGAGAGCACCTTTTCCCCTCCTTCCTCTTTGCAGATGAAGAATGATTATGGGCAGGTGAGATGCATCCTGTTAATCTCATTCAGTTGACAAGGAAACCATGTTTATTAGTCTTCTCAAGGCGGAGAAATAACTTTTTGATTGACTGCATAGTGGTCATTGAAAGGGCTGGGGAATTAACGGTTTCCGATTCTCTAAATTAACGAGTTCTAAAATGTAGTAAAATACTCTGAAGATTCATAGATGCTAGGGTCGGAAGGGACCTCAACAGATCATCGAGTCAAAGATGTTGAAGATGAAGTCACATTTCAGAGAGCTAAAACTGAATAGATGTCATGTATATCTTCACTTGCAGTGACCGGTTGGACTCATTTTGACATCCCATCTGTTATGTCAAAACTCTTTAACAGTAGCATGCGGTTCAAAGCTTCCTTACTATTAGTGCTTTTGACGTTGAAAAAAAAAAATCTTATTTCATAATTCAAAGATTTTGTTCTGTAACTCTGAACATTAACGTGAGAATGTACTTTTTGGATTTTAAAAAGGTAATGTTTCTGTGCAGGGTGGCGAATCTTTGTTTGGTAGAAATCATAATACATACCATTCGCATGGTTTTGAGAAACTGAACTAAGTAGCACTCCTTATTTTGTGTAACACTGTATGAACACTAATTACATGCTTGTGAAAGGGTCTCCTGTTATTGTGTACATTTGCAAAAAGCAAAATGCTTATGGAAAAACAAACGAGCATGACAGAAATCTTGTGTATTGCTTGAAAGAGAGATTTGCATATGCATGGAAAATCCTGCTTGCAGGCTGGCTCTCTGTCTGCTTGCCCTTATTGTGAAATCACAATCCTCTTTCTGATGTACAATAGATGTTTACCATAGATCTGATAGCTGAACAAAACGCCCTGTAAGTAAACACTGTTTTCTAAACATTGTGATTTGCTGACAGCTTGCAAATGCTGCATGTCATGAAACACTTGCAGAAATGGATAACTCCTAGGAAGGTGTTAAATCATGCTGTCCACCTTATTTTTTTTTTTCTATCAAAATGTCAAAATAGTTTTTAAAGTGTTGTTTCGGCTCCGGACAAAATGAAATCTGCACCTCAACTTAGTACGCTGGATCCTTTCTTAGTAATATCCAGGTGGATTTGCTTGATGGCAGCACTACAAGTGACATCATCCTAATTCATTGCAAACTGGCGTGTTGCCATTCAGGTTGATTTAATTGCAGAGCATAATGAAAACAGGAGGTGGCTTTTGCTGTCAGGTTCTCCGCCTGTTATGCAACCCTGAGGCACTGTTTTCTCAGGGTCTAACACCATGTTACAGAAACCTCGTAGCAGTCTATAAAGACTTTCACTAATCATTGCAATCGATAGATACTGCTCCTTTCTGCGTGTAGATTCATGGATAATCAAATAGCCAGATATTCATCATGTCATTATACTAAAACACCCATGAAAATAAACTTTACAGATACTGAATTTTGGGAGGGGGGAAAAATGCATGCACTGTGGCTCCCAGGCACAAAATACTTTTGCGATTCTTCTAAATGAGTGCTTTATAAATACACTTATAATGGACCAAACATGAAAGTAAATGCAAATATTTTTATGTTGAATTCATGGAGTTTTATGTAACACACTAGTTCTTAATTTCAGCAGTTAAGAACCAGGCTGTATTCTATACAGGACCCTGCCAGAGAAGGGGTCGGCAACATTTTTGGGCAGAGTACCAAAAATCCCCGCACCCTCGACTTATAAGACGTTGGTGTGACAGAGGTGGACAGCGGGGGAGCCGGATGGGACCTGATCCTTGTTGTGGCAGTGTAGCCACGGCCCCTTCCCCACCGTCTGCCCCGAGGTGTGCGTGCCAAGCAAAACGCCTTCACGTGCCACTCTGGCACCTGTGCCAGGGATCACCTACCCCTGTACTAGAGCAGTAGAATGAATTTGTGCGCGATAAAGGTACTGACTTTTAAGATTTTTCTCAGTATTGAACAAGCAAGCAGTTTGTGATGATGATTAACCATAGGTGATGATAATGAAAGGATGTAATGGCACTTAGGGATATCTCGCTCCAAAAGTAACTGTTAGCATAAGCTCAGCTTCAGTTTAGGACAAAGACCATCAATAAGCCCTAGAAAGAAGGGGCGGAGAGAAGGAATTATTGATGTTGGTGTCATCTGTTATCTTATCCTTGTTCTTTTCTTAGACTTAGAAAGCAAATCTGTTGCGGTATCATTAGTTCCCCAGCTCTGTTAATTTTACTGCGGATCAGATCCCAAGCCCAGTGAAAACACTGGACAAACTGTGGGGGCATGTTTTCTCAGCAGGGTAAGTTGGACCAGGCAGAATGCCATGCTAATGTGGCATAGCTGTTTCTGGTACGTGAGCCAGCTTGTTCAGATCTAGCGTGGGCATCTCTACATGGTACTGCATTGCAGTGTGTAGCAATAGCCTTCTTTGACTTCCATGGGCTATGGATGAGGCTCCTGAATAGTCTTTGTCAGAATGGTTTTCTTCTTTTTATTTGAGGAAAATCTATTTAGCCATTTTTTTTTTCATTATGACAGGACGAAAAATTATGCTCTTCACATTCTTAAAAATGTTGCTCTTTTTCATGCAGGTCACTTGCATACAGAAACTTGGCATATAGTTAGCATTCATTTTGGATGAAGCACATAGCCAAGTTAAAAAAAAAAAAAAAAAAAAAGAATTGGTATAATAATAAAAAAACAAACCCAAGTAATTGAAATATCACTTTTAAGCATGCTTGGTTGGGCAGCTTTAGATTGTTAAGAGTCCAGACAATCCCAGTATACATCTTTCTGGCCCATCCAGACACCAGAAGGCTGCTACTAGGCAGTGGATGTTAAAGGAACTGTACATATCTCAATCTAAAACAAGCAGCAAATCCCACTTTAAAAACTGACTTGACAATAGATTGAGGAAAATCACAGGGAAAGAAAATTGCAGATCCTGGTAATTTAGGTTTTCTCTGCTTTTTTTTTTTTTGTTTGTTTGTTTTTTTTTTGTTTTTTTCTGCTTTTTTTTGCTGTGTTCAGCAAATCCTAAGCTTTCATTAAAAAAAAAAAAAAAAGTTGCAAATTGTTTACTATGTGGGTTTTTCCGCACTACAGCTGGAAGCGCTATGAACCAGGGGCTTCATCCACAAAACCCCCAGATCTGCTGGGATTTACCAGAAGCCAGTGCCGTCCACATACAGTCATGCCTCTTGGTTTTACAATTTTAAGATTGATAGGTATGTCGCAATTCAGTAGAAGTAAAAAAAAAAAAAAAAAAAAAAAAGACTGGGTACCCTTTACCTATTTGATTGCTTTTTCATCTTTGGAAATAATTGCTAAATGGCATCAAGACATATATAGGCCAAGTGCTAAATGCAGCAGATCAGTATAGTTATTTTCTTTGGTGGGAACGTGATAATCAAAAAAAGACTATTTGAGCCTAATGCATCTGTTCTCTTCTCCAATTAAGTTGTCAGCTTTAGTTCCACCATTGGTGCCAGTATTTCTTTGCGTTGGCCAGGAGAGAAATTTCTTACTGCAGTAATCTTGTAATATTTTTGGAAGAGGATTTAGTGAAAACAATTCCAGGACTGGGCTAGGGTGGTGCAGGTGCTAAGGCACATGATTGACAGCCCAGAGGTCTCAAGTTCGAGGCCGTAGCAGAAGTGCTTCTGGTGCTCCTTTCAGATTCCAGAGAATCTGTGCATCCTGCTAAATACGTTGTCACGAGAAAGAAAAAGGACACGAAAGTAAAAGGACACGAAAAAGAAAGGATTCCAGGACTCATGTTCAGGTACACTGGGATCCTGCTGTGTGCTTATTTATTAATAAAAGGCTATTAACAATTTATAGCTTGCACTGAGTATTGCACATCTTTATTTTATATAGAGAAGTCACACACCTCTGTAAATTTTACCAAATTTGCGGTTACAAATCCTATTGGTTTTTAGACCTAGTGCCAAATGTGTTGCTTGATGCTTTTGAGACAAAGATGAAGATGTAAGGTCCTGACCTTCCATGTCTCTCTTTAGACATCAGATTTGAATTGGTAAATGCTGTTACAATACTCCTACAGTTATTCTGCAGGGGCCAGGGCCACAATCTAGACGTTGCCTATTAAGCGTGAAATAGAGAGGAGCATGGCGTGTGGGCACTTCTTTCTTCTGCCGACTCCTCCGTAGCACCTACGCTTTTGTGATATATGCAGGCACACGTGTGGCAGTGCAGGAGCTGGGTTGTATGGTTGACTGGTTTGGTTTTGTTGTAAATGAAGGCTGTAGCTGTTCTGGTTGCTGAGAGACTTGATTCACAAAGCTAAAGATGCAGTGCTGTCTGGTTGTGCTTACCGAGGCTGAAACGAGCTTTGAAAAGCATGAACCGTCCAAGTAATTTCAGCGTGTGTTAACTCGCTCC